TCTTTACTGCCCTCAGAAGTCTGGTCCTGCTCCTCAACGGACACTGCAGCAAGAGAGCTGGTTCCAATGCTAATGGGAGAGCTATGCTCCCTCTGGGTGCACTCTGGAGAGATGGATTCCACATCACAGGTGAGGAAGATCTGTTGGCATGGGAGTAAGGGATCTGGCTCCACACCTCACCTGAAAGGGGTAGCATCAATGGCCCAGACTGACAAACTCAGCTACCACCTAGGCATACAACAAGGCCTTGGGTTGACCCTCCCTGGCATCTCCCACATCTGCTGGAGCTCATGGAGGAACTGTTGCTGAGAAAAGGCACCCACAGGATCTACATGACTCCTGGCAGCTGTGGGATATCTGAAAAGAGTTTTGGTTAGTGCCCAGTGATGATGGTGTACCAGAAACCACAGGCTTTGAACCGAGCAAAAGACTCATTGAAAACCCAAGACTCATGAAAGTTACAAGTAAAGTCGATTGGACAAAGGGTATATATCATGGACAAAGGATATACATCATGGCTCCCAATGCCACCAGGACAAATGAGAAGGTGTTGGAGAGGTGGGAAAGATGAAGGAGTGGAAAGGGTTATTTGTTTCAATTTTTTGGTCTTGTTTTTGTTTGTTTGTTTGGTTGGTTTTGTTTGGTTTAGTTTGGTTTGATTTTTGAAAATTTTCTTTAGATGAGGGTGCTACAGGGATGAGGAGAGTATAGGGGGACTAAGATGAACAAAATTAGGGTGCATGATATGAAATTTGCAAAGATTCAATAAGGAAATTAAATAAAAAAAAACCAAAGATATAGTTTTATGGACAAAGCCATTCCGTTTGGAACATGAAAATAATAAGCAATCTAGAATATTTATTATGGTTGGAGAAATTTTTATTGTGACCCTAGTGTAACTTATGCTTCAGACTCTTGACTCAAACAGATCCAAGGCAAAGACCCCAGAATGGTGATCACATGGTGATCTTACTCTAAAAGTAAGGTATTTTGAATGATTTTCCTCTTACGTTTCTCTCAATTACAATTTTATTTTTCAGGTGATAAGAAAGTGAACATAAACATATTTTGGATCTGACTAAGGTGAATTATTAGGTTGGATGATTCACAATCCATTCATTGTATAGTTAATGGCCACCAAGATTTCACAGTCTTTAGCTACAACTATTTTACACTGTGGCTGCTAGTGACTTAACTCAGAGGCATGGTCTTTTTCCAATCAGTTTACAGTGTTGGAATCTGTGTTTCTCCTCTCTAACTGTTTCCAGGTTCTTTTCTGTTCTCACTGCTGCCACACTGTGTAGCCTGCTCTGTCTAAAGAGGACTCTGTGCTTTGTGTTCTTATGTTGGCACAAGATTGCCTCATTGAATTCTATGTTAAGGCTTAGGGTGACATCTTTTTATAGGGCACAAAATATATACATTGTTGTCATAATACAACATTCAGACTACCTCTCAAGAATGAGGGCATTAAGTTCAGTAGTGGAATTATAAAGTGATGTTCCGAATGCCTGCCCCCTGGTGGGCATGCAGGGCATAGTCTCCTGTTGGAAGGGCCTAGAAGATGGCAGGTGCCACTCCTGGGATAAGGTTACATTTCCTAAGAAAGACAGCACGATGTCGCATAAGTAATACATCTCTAATCAGTCTGACACACGGTGGCTTTGACTATGAGTTTATTGAAATGATTATCTGTAGCAGGTCATCTAAACATGTTATTTTCTTAAGACAGTTTTACAATTGATTTTGTCTCAGTATTCCCTAGCTGGCTCTTCTTACAACAACACATCTGTCATGTTTGCTGTGGAAAGAAAAAGGAAATGTAGTCTTTATTCCTCACAGCATCCATCAAACTGTGCACTCATGGTGCCGTTTGTTTATGTCATTCAGATTTTAGCAGTAAAGTAGCATGTGATTTTCTGAATACTGTGTTTTCTAACAGTTTCCTTCAAACTAAGTAAAGGGTAAATGTCTCAAACTAAAACAGTTTGTGTCCATTTTTGTTTATATCTTTATCCTCTTATTTTGTAAAATTCACAAATTTTATGCCTTAGAAAGCATGGGTCTTGCTTTGTGTATGACCTTTGAAGGTCAATCTTAGAAAGGCAGAAAGATGATGTATGAGAAAGCAACACACTTAGACTGAGAAATTGCATTTATGTTTGGGCACTAGGGGTCACTGCTCTCTAAAGGGGAAAGGACCTAGAGGCAGATTAGATCAAAGACAATAAAACCTAATTTCTCCACTATTTAAGTACTTGTTTTGACTGAACATATATTAGGTAGTGAAAGAAAGGATCTCAGACACAGGGGCTATTGCCAAGACCGACAATACCTAATAGTTCAACCAGGGTTGCTATGGAAAAGGTACCTAAATCTAACTATTTACCTCTCCACTCCCCAGGCTGTATTCACTTCCCAGGAATATCCAGGAAGGAGTGAGCTGCTTCTTGTTCACATTGGTGATCTTGTTTTGCATCCTAAGGCTCAGGGCAGCCCTTCTGCTCACTATAGAAAGAACACTGTGCTGTTTCACTTTGACTAGTGACTCTCCTTTCAGCTGAGTTCCCCACACAGCACTGATGCTGCAGGAGGATGCAGAGCCCAGTTGGTGCCCCAGCCTGATGGCTGCATCTGTGCATCTGCAGATGAGGAGCAGCTACTCATCTCTTGCCCCTTAGGGTCCTTACCTGCATATGCAACACTCTCACCTGAGACTCCAGTGCCTCCTAAGCTCCCATCAGGAAGTCAGCCTGTCTCAGGCATGGAGAGTTTTCAGACTGAGTGCAGAAGTATAGAAACTCCTTCCACCTGAGGATCCTCTGGAGATGAGACTGAGGGAGCTGGGTGCTCCTCTGTCCTGAGTCACGAGTGCAGATCTGAGATCTGCAGAGTAAGAGACCAGGATCACTCAGCCTCAGACACTCAGGGAGTTGGTGGTTTCTGTGAAGGCAACAGTAAAGAAAGTAGAATTTTGGGAAGGGCTTCATTCCTATGGGAAAGATCTGAGTTGCCATGGATTTGTTTCTCATCTTGCAAAGGAAAGGTCTGATTCTAGAAGGACAGCATTTTTACCTGAATCCAAATTCTACCTCAATTATCCTCAGGATTCTCCTCAAACTGGAGGACATTAGTTGCTTCAACACCATTTGAGACAGTGATGGGCTGAGATGGTGTAAAGTTGGGGCTGGATTTTTTTTTTGAGGAAACGTGTTACTTTTCATTACAAGTCTCATTTCTCAAGCAGTCAACTTTATGATGAATCCTTTAAAATGCATTTCTCATTGTTATGAACTTGAATGCATTGTCCCCTGCATTCACCATTTGCAAAAGCACAGCAGCTTTGCTGCCCCATCACTCGACATGTAGCACTCCTATCTTAACCTCTCCAATCCTCTTCCTTCTTATGTGGTCATTTAACAGTCAAACAAATTTATCCCATACCTTTGTTATATTGGGATTGCCTATTAAAATAAACATCACATTTGTTTGAACGAATTAATGATAGCCTCAGAGTACCCAAAATGTTTCAGTGTCATCTTAAGAAAAAAAAGTTTAAAAAAAACTCCATTTGGTTTAATTTAAGACAAAGCCTGGATTTGAATTCTCTGTTTCTCCTTTTCCTTGACTTCCATAATTCTACATTTGTATCTGTCTATTGTATGAGTCTAAATCTGTGTCCCCCTGAATGCTCTTTTGTGTTGTTTGTTCCTATATCTCTGTAGGTTTGTCTCCACCAAAGGAATCTGATATATATAGATAAATAGATAGATAGATAGATAGATAGATAGATAGATAGATAGATAGATA